TATGATCTATTCAGGATTCAAAAGGAACCACAAAATGTATAACATGATGAGTTCAGAAAAAGAGAATCAAAGGAATTGAATATATGTTTGAAAGAGTTAAATTCAAAACTAATTTGCAGAAACAATATACCAGTGAGAAAATGGTCAATCTGTGAAACAGGCACTCTAGGGTGACGATGGAAGCAATTAATATTGATCAGTTGAAATGCAAATCAGACCCCTTTTGGAAGATAACATTTTGGGATGCAGCATATCAATAATTTGAGATCATAGTGTGGTTATGCATCATGTTTGGGAGGGACAGGTAAATTTGAGACTAAGATTCCCAAAGCTTCCCATTACTGAGGGTTTGTTGTACACTAATTGATCATGATTGATTGTTGTGACCAAGCAACAACTCCATTACGCTTGTATTGTGCAACTACTATTTATTCTGAACAGTAGATAAAGTATAGATGGACTTGTTGCAATTGTTTTTTTTTATTATCTGCCATTCCTGTGCTCATATGTGTGTCCCTTTAAATAAGATTTCCAAATGCCATTTCATGTCTTCTGGACTACTGCGCGTACTTTAACTATTTATTTTGAAAATGACATTGAAACATTATAGATCCCCAATTTTAATACTTCTGTGAGGTCTCTGCTTTTAAAAGGCACCAGCGATATTCAAGTGAAGACCCAAACAAAACAGTAGCATGGAGAAGTAGGGCAATGAGGATAAGATATTTGGGCTGTTCTCTGTTCGCTCCCATTTGGTAGAGTTTTAGAATTAGTATATATATGCATATACATAGCTATTTATGTGTACGTGCATACTTTGTCACACTTATTAGATGATACAGCCTTCAATTGTAACCTATGGTCAGCATTCTTTAGTGTTCACTATATTTTTTGTGAAAATAACTTTTTTTTTTAAAAATTAAAGACAGATTCTGTATTATTCATATGATTTGTTCATTAATATATTTTAGAGAAAAATGATTTATTTTTGTTTCAAATCCCCCAATATCAAAGCATTATAATTTAATATTTTATATTTCTTTTTAGACTAAAGTATGTGCATAATGTAGCACCTTGTTAGTTCTAGACAGCTTATGAAAGTGTTTCAGTCTTCACAATTAGATTGGGTTTTATAATATACCCTTTCAGGGATCTACAATGAAGCACCTCTGTCAACCTTTATTCTATTCACAGCTCTGGCAGCTGTTTGAAACAAAAGAAGCTACATTTAAGTAATCAAAATATCTGTATTGCTTGGCCATTTACAGTTCCCTATCAAGACATAGAAAAATGTTAATTTTAAAAGATTTATTTTATGACCTGTAATTACTGTCATTAAGAATGCTCTGGAGACTAACATGGAGCTTTGACTGAAATTTAGCTTGACACATTCCATAATTAATGCTGAATTAACATGCTACATTATGTGCCAGATAAAATTATTTTCCTTGCAGCTAGGACTACAATTCAAAGCATAGTTGAATGGTTACACTGACTAAAATATAATGTTTCAAAAGCCTGATTCAAATATATATCTTCATTTAGAAGTTTATCTTTTTAAATCTAGAAATGTCTTTTAGCAAAAATTGTAAATATATACACAACAGTAACTTGCAACTTTTAAATATGATTAGAAACAAAAGCTTTTAATTCAGTAAATAATATACTACAGGATTTATGCCAGAAGTTCATTGTTTTAAAATATTTGTTTGCAACAATGTGCTATGTAAAAACAGCAGAATAAAGTACAACATAAACATGTATGTCCGTTCTTACATTTAAAGCAGATGGGGAAACACAATAAATCACATTCGGTAGATCATGCTGTTTAAGTCAATCTTTGAAGTATCTCCAAAAATCCTTATACGCCAAGTAGAAATTGTGAGCTGCGATAAGGGTGGTTACCTTCTTGAAATTTTTTTGACTTATACGCCAAGTATAAATTGTGAGCTGTAATGAGGGTGGTTATCGTCTTGAAATTTTTTTTTAAAGAGTAACATGAGTAATTCATAGTAAATTAATGTGATGCAGTTTATTAAATTAAGTAATTTCACGCAGACACTTTTAACCACAATCAAGGCATTGTGAAGCCATCAAATTTAATGTCTTCAGCATCAAACACAGAGTTCATTAAATTAATTTTAGGCTAAAATTTGTCAATTTCAGTGAGTTTCATTGAAGGCTTCACTGTTTGAGCTCTAGTTAGTTATTTCATGCAATTCCTCACAACTCATCTCATTATTATGCACCATGCCTCAATGGCGGCCTGCTCGTACTATTGTATGTTCAGCAACGGCAGGATTACCACTGCCAATCCTCTTAGGATTCCTGGCACTGGTGCCGTATTTAAAGCCCAGGAACCTGGTCAAGCACTGGAGCCAGCAGCTGTCTTTCAATGTGCATGTAGTGGAAGCAGACTGTAAAAGAAAACCTTCTGAGGACTCATAGGTGGCACGGGTGATATTTCATTGCAAATACAATTTCACATTTGTAAACATATTGGGATTTAGCATCATCACCCATCTGATTGATTGTCATTATGACTGCAGCTACAAGAATCAAGCTGCACAGGTTACCTGTCCTTACTGCCCTACCAGCTCAGAACCCTGTCTTAGGGAGTTCTACTCTTCCCTAATGCCTAGAGTAACATAACATCTTCTCATTGTTCAATGTGGGAATGTCACGTGCTGAAAAGTCTTCAAATACTTGAAAATGTTCACTTTTAATCAAAAACAGCAAAATGAAGAAAAACAAAATCAAACAAAACATAGCTCCGTTTGCTCAGGGACAGAGAGAGACTGATTGCCTTTTGAGCAACAACAAATTTACAGTAAATGAATGATCATTGCATCCAGTTCACCTTGGAACCAAGTTCTGTCTGGCTTGCAGTGCTTGACGCAGTCCTGCTCTATTACGCTGAAAGATGCCACTCTTCCTCCTCAATGTCCTCATCTTCCTCCTCAGAAGACAGCTGCCTCTCTCCCAGCTTTTCAGTGTCCATCACATCCCTCCTCACTTCCTTCTGTCATGCTGAGTACGGTATGCCAGGATTATGCAGCACTCCATATCTGGAGAATACTGTAGCATTAACCACCACACCTCCCCCCCAACCACCCACAGACCAATCCAAACATTAAAACTTCATCTTCAGCACACCTATTGTGTGCTCCACCATGACTGTGGCTGCACCGTATCCATACTCCTCCGCCATAGTCAGGGGGTTCTTAATGTAGTCATTAGCCATGTTTGCAGTCCAGTAAACGTCCTTGTAAGGCATCCAGCCCTTGATTTGGAGCAGAAACATGAAAGCAGTTGAAAGTATAGACATCATGGCAGCTCCTAGGGTCAAACTTCTAAGATATCACAGACAACTTTTAAATTGATGGAATGAAGCTTTTTATCGGTTGATGAAATCTGCCATATTATGATATGGTCCTTTGAGTGCGATGTATGTAAAGTTAAGTGCCCTGCACCTGGGAAATCCAATTATGTCAGTAGAGACTACTACCTGAGCTGCAGCGTTAATCTTGTCCTGGGGAAATGAGATCAAGTGATGCGATCTGGCACAAACTACATCAGTAACAGCCTTAACACATTTGTGAATTGAAGATTCTGAAGGCTTATTTTGTCTTGAACATCTTCTTCAGTGCAAATTTCATCTTCTTCCATCTGGCACCAGTTTTTCATGAACACAAAATTGTCTCACTTACTGCATAGTTATTTAATGAGCGCACAAATATACAACTTTTAGATTGAAAGTTACATTTGTTTTGCTGGCGAATCTATTTTGTTTATTACTGACTATTCCATGTTCAGTCTGCTCTATGCAAGCATGTCTTAAACTCCCACATATCAGCGTAACATGTCACCTACTTTATCCCATGTACAGCACGATTTTGTGAGTTGCGATGTAAGCTAGGTAAAATGTGTATTTCTGGAATGAAAAATTGAGTCTGACCAAATTCAAATCCAAGTTTGTGTCTGAAATGGGACAGGGGGAACGTATACGTCATGTTTCTGCAAAGCTTGATTTTTGGGGCCTAGAAAGGGGTTGTCTGTTATGTGCCTGATTGATTTATAGGATGACAATTCATCCAGACTAAAATCACAAATAGCAATAACAATAATATTTGTTTGTGAAAAGCTTTCTGAACACAATGAGTATAATTATCCCCATAAGTTACAAATAAGAAGTAAGTTTTGTCTCTCTCTATTTCCTGTTCTGATTATCTACTTCTAAATCTGCCTGAGTTTCAAATGTGGGAACAATTGAGAGCCTCTTATTCAAAACTTCGGCTTTTATCCATAACATTGTAAGTTCCTATGTTCCATATAATCATGTGGTGTGTTTGCACTAGTTAATTCTTAAGTTTGCCTCGAAAGAGATATTAATGATAGTTATGTAGCAGTTGCGGAAACACATTATTTAATTTGCAATGTATTAAAAAAATGGCGAGTGAGACCTTTTACCTAATTGTAAGGTTTTAACTGGAATGGTGAAGAAAATAAAACAATAGAGCCATAATTCCATTGGGCTTGCCCCACTGCAAATCAAGCAGGAGCCACCCAATTGAAAGATACTAATCTAATTGCAAATTGCAGAAGGAGGGTCTTTGACTTGTTTGGAGTATGCCCCTTTACCTTGCCCTAAAAGAGCCTTTCCTGTCCTGAGAGGCGCTGAGTGAAAGATCTTTAGTACCAATGGGAACCATTATGCTGGCAACTTGTTAAGTCCCTTCAGAAGTAGTTGCATGCAGGTGTCAAACTTGACAGGTTCCCTTCCCAAAGGACCTCAGTGAACCAGTTTTATTTCATGAAAATCCTGCAGGTTTCAGGTCACGTTACAAATTACGAGATTTAGCGAACTCCATTTGACAGCTTGCTTTGGTGGGATTTGATCGCACAACTGCTGAATTGCTAGTCTATTACCATATTATAATGGAATAACAATTGCATTTACTGGGAAAGAATTAGTCTGCTAATTATTTTTACTTTCTCAGGTACAAGAATATGAAGAGAGACTAAAAGAACTTAGTGTTCAGTTGAACCAAGCACTGAGAAAAAACAAGGAAAATAACAAAGATTTGGTCATTAAAGACGAACAGCTGATTATGTATGAAAAGGAGATGGCTGCTTTACGTGAGAAGCTGCAAGAAAACATGGAGGAGGTATAGTTGTGTTTGCGCTGTTCGTGACAAGAGTCAGTCATCCAGTGAATAACTTGGTGTATGTTTTGTAGCTAAATAATCAATATTATTCAGTAACTTTACAAAACTTTTGTTCTTGCTATATGCTAATAAATACTAATCACTAGGAGAACCACTTGTAAAGCAAAAGAGCTGACTCTTTTATTTCAGTGAAATAATATGAAATATTTTTATGCTCGAGAGAAGCACAGGTTAGAAACAAATAGATATGATTCATAGACCCTTGATCACTGCAAGGAAGACAGCGTTCTTTGAACCATGGTTACAGATTTACTCTTTAAGTTGTGTCTTTTGTAATATTTTTAAACCACTGTTAATAACTTCTATGTATTTCCTCCTTTTTCTCATCTTCATGCTGTCTCTGGTCGACATCAACAAATAGCACAGCATCAACTTGCATGGGTCTGTTGCCAACACGCAGCTTGCTTTCTCACTTTTTACTACTTTCATGCACCATACAATGCTTCTGTGCTGTCATACAGTCCAGCTAATATTAGTTTATTGATGAGTTGATTTTCCTCACAAAAACTAGAGTCATTCAATTACATCTAAATACTTCACCTTCTTATTAAAGTTAATTTCCTTGTACCTTTTTGCTGACTTAAGTTCAATGCAAAGATGTGAAACCTCAGTGTTCTGCTTGATCTGAACTTAATTTTAAACTTCCTGGCCTATCCAGCCAGAAAACTGCTTACTCCTATTAGGAATGTAAGTGTTGTAATGTTTGAGAGAAAGACTGCAAATCTGCATCTCTGTCAAACATGAGGTCAACGCACACATACGTTTGAAGTGTTGTTAAGAGTTACATGAACATATATTAAATTGTGAGCTGATGAGGGTCAGCATAGAGTTGTAAAGGATAGGCCATGCCTGACAAATCTGACTGAATTTTCTGAAGAGGTGACTAAAGTAATGGGCAGGGGAATGAGCTGAAAAGGCTAATGGAATGCTGACACTCCTACTGAGAAGGCTGGAACACAAAGGGGTAGATGTCATGTTTCAGCTATACGAAGCTCTGGTCAGACCACAACTGGCATACTGTGACAGACCTAGACACTACCATATTAACCTTGGAGGAAATGTAGGATGATTTCTCAGAATGATACATGAAGTCCAAGGATTAAATTATGAAGAAAGAATACACAAATTAGCGTTATAATTCCTGCAATTTTGAGGTTTATGAGACAATTTGAATTGAGTTTTCAAAATATAATGGGAAACAGATAAGGTATAGAGAGAATCTTTGTACTGGGTGTTGACTGTAGCACTAGAGATATAGCCTAAACATTAGAGTCAGTGCTTTCAGAAGTGAAATTAGGAAACACTTCTATGCGCAAATTGTGGTGGAGGTTTGTAACTCTGTTCAACAAAAGGCAGTTCATGCTTAATTAATTGTAAATTTTAAACTTATTCTCATGTTCCAAGAAATTTGTTTCAGCTTTGCCCAGTTTTCAGACAGCAAATCAGCATACAAACCTGACCTCTTTTAATTAATGTGCCCAAAATATCATATGAAGTATTTCTTGTCACAGGAGCCTTGGAGATGAAATACCGCTGGCCATACAGTAAGACAAGCATTGTGGATGACATTGACCAGGTCTATCCCTTGCTATGAGCCTCTCATTTACACTGCAATATTATCGAACTGCAGTTTTACTCAATTTTTCTGCCATAGAAAATATGCTCCCGTATCTGAAGATCATCTTCTAGAACATAATCCTGACTTACTTCCCATCCTACACAGTAGACTAACATCAATTTGTGTAAACTGAGTTGTGTAAGTCCAACTCACCTCCCAAAAGTCATCATTGACCTAAAAACGTTCCCTGCCCCAGAAGTATTAAAGCAAAATCCTTTGTAATTATTTACACAACTTCTTTTTGGATTTTCTCTTTCCTGTCTATGTACTTCCATTCACCCTTTTGTTTCCTAAATACTCTATTTATCTTATTCTAACCTTCTACAAAGTTCTTCTCCACTTGTTCAAACATTTATGTTTGTCCTTTCCACTGCATTTTCCTCACTAATTCTCCACTATACATCTCTCTTCACGTTTAAAAATCTTCTCAGGTACCTTTCTCCTCCTACTTCCTATACAGGCTTGATATCCAATTTCCTTATACCTATTTGCATTTCACAAAGTAACATTTGTACTCCAGGTTTCAATTAATGGTGTTGTCTGAATGCAAGTAGTTATTGATGACTGAAATTGTGAACAAGAACAGTGTGATCGCCTCTTTGATACTTTCAAACTGAAGTACAAATCACGTTAGTGCACTACCAGAGAAATAATATGATGGTTGTTGTTGCATAAATAGGACCAGCTTCAGGGCAATTTGCCTATGGGTATCAAAACAATGTGCACTAATGGCAAAACATTTGGTTTAAGTAGACATTGTAATAGTAGACCATTGTACCTGTTCTACCAGTCCACACCTAGAAGAGGCATGTAAATTTGTCCACAAAATCATGCAAACAATGGGTTTCCTGTCGGCTTCTGCAGATCACTACATAACATCACGAGGTGTTTACTTAACTCCTGACGTTTTGCTAAAGGATTGAGAAACAGAAGTTAGCTTCATCACTCTTGAATATTAATTTGCCTGTTTCTTTGTTTTTTTCATGAAAGTAGTGCATTGCAAAAAAATTAGAACTGATACGCTAAAGGTTATTTTGCTAATTCTGTATTGGTCTTCCAAACCATAGAACATAGAATATTACAGCGCAGTACAGGCCCTTCGGCCCTCGATGTTGCGCCGACCTGTGAAACCAATCTGAAGCCCATCTAACCTAAACTATTCCATTATCATCCATATGTTTATCCAATGACCATTTAAATGCCCTTAAAAGTTGGCGAATCCACTACTTTTGCAGGCAGGGCATTCCACGCCCTTACTACTCTCTGAGTAAAGAACCTACCTCTGACATCTGTCCTATATCTATCACCCCTCAATTTAAAGCTATGTTCCCTCGTGCTAGCCACCACCATCCGAGGAAAAAGGCTTCCACTGTCCACCCTATCTAATCCTCTGATCATCTTGTATGTCTCTATTACGTCACCTCTTAACCTTCTTCTCTCTAACGAAAACAGCCTCAAGTCCCTCAGCCTTTCCTCATAAGACCTTCCCTCCATACCAGGCAACATCCTGGTAAATCTCCTCTGCACCCTTTCCAATGCTTCCTTCCTATAATGCGGTGACCAGAACTGTACACAATACTCCAAGTGCAGCTGCACCAGAGTTTTGTACAGCTGCAACATGACCTCATGGCTCCGAAACTCAATCCCTCTACCAATAAAACCTAACACACCGTACACCTTCTTAACAACCCTATCAACCTGGGTGGCAACTTTCAGTGATCTATGCACATGGACACCGAGATCTCTCTGCTCATCCACACTACCAAGAATCTTACCATTAGCCCAGTACTCTGTATTCCTGTTCCTCCTTCCAAAGTGAATCACCTCACACTTTTCCGCATTAAACTCCATTTGCCACCTCTTGGCCCAGCTCTGCAGCTTATCTATGTCCCTCTGTAACCTGCAACATCCTTCCGCACTATCCACAACTCCACCGACTTTGGTGTCATCCGCAAATTTACTAACCCATCCTTCTACGCCCTCATCCAGGTCATTTATAAAAATGACAAACAGCAGTGGCCCCAAAACCACAGTTCTCGGTTTATTTCTAGAATTCTAAATGGTCTGCCGCCTCCTGCTAGGGTATGTACCACTGTTTATTCAATGCTTTACATCCTGTTGAGGATGAATTTGCAATAGACAGCTTGCCATTGCACACACAAGGTTGGGTGCCAGACATCTCCATTAGAATCCTCACATACATTCACAGAGTCATACAACACGGAAAGAGACCCTTTGGTGCAACTCATCCATGCTGACTAGGTCCCAAACTGAACTGGTCCCTTTGCCTGCGTTTGGCCCATCTCCCTCTAAATCCTTCCTATTCATGTACCTGTCTAAATGTCTTTTAAATGTCACTTTCTCTGGCAGATCATTTCAGACACACACCATCCTTTATGTGAAAAAGTTGTCCCTCAGGACCCTTTTAAACCTTTCCCCTCTCACCTTAAATGCTCTCTAGTTTTGGACTCCCCTACCCTTGGAAAAAAAGACCTTTGTTATTCACCTTACCTATGCTCCTCATAATTTTATAAACCTTTTACAAGGTCACCCCTCAATTTTCTAAGCTCCAGTGGAAAAAAAGTCACAACCTATCCGCTTCTCTTTATATCTCATACCCTGCAGTCCTGGCAACATCCTGGTAAATCTTTTCTGAACCCTCTGCAATTTAATAACATGCTTCCTATAGCAGGGCAACCAGAACTGTACACAGTACTCCAAAAGTGGCTTCACCAATGTCCTGTACAACCTCAATATGACATCGTAACTAGGTCCTTGACTCAGTGCCAGTGAATGAGTAACAATGTATTTGCAAATTTTTTTCTTTATACATTCACGGGACGAGGGCGTCGCTGGCTGCCCATCCTAATCGCCCAGAGGGCAGTTAAGAGTCAACCACATTGTTGTGGGTCTGGAATCACATGTAGGCCACACCAGGTAAAGATGGCAGTTTCCTTCCCTAAAGGACCTTAGTGAACCAGATGGGTTTTTCTGACAATCAACAATGGATTCACAGTCATCATTAGATTCTTAATTCCAGATATTTATTGAATTCAAATTCCACCATCTGCCATGGTGAGATTCAAATGTTGGTCCCCAGAACATTATCTGGATATCTGGATTAACAGTCCAGCGATAATACCACTAGGCCATCGTCTCCTCAAATTAGGATGGTGAGTGGCTTGGAGGGGAACTTGCAAGTGGTGGTGTTCGCATTATTCTGCTGCCCTAGACTGAAGTGGTCAGGGGTTTAGAAGGTGCTGTCTATGGAACCTTGGTGAATTTCAGTAGTGCATCTAGTCTGAACTTCCTTTAATCCTACTATATTTTCCCTCGATGAGAGGACAAAAATTGTTTATGATATTCTAGATGTGAGTTTAACCAGTGCCTTGTATAGGTTTATATTCTTTAATATTTTTATACACTGTTCTCTTTGAAATGAGGGCCAAATTCCAGTTGCCTTTTATATTACCTGCTGAGCTTTTATGCAGTCTTCTTGTGGTACATGCTTCAAAAGTCCCACATCCCTCTGAACTGCAGCTTTCTGCATTCTTTCTCCATTTAGATCATATGTTTGCTCCTCAATCCTGTCAAAGTGGATAGCTTCACATTTTGACACAAACACAGAAGTTGCTGGAAGATCTCAGCACGTCTGGCAGCATCTGTGGAGAGAAATTAGAGTCAACGTTTTGGGTCCCCTGACCATTCTTCAGAACTCTCTGTGTTCTAACAATGGTCGCTGGACCCAAACGTTAACTGTGATTTCTCTCCACAAATGCTGCCAGACCTGCTGAGATTTTCTGGTAATTTCTGTTTTGTTTCAGATTTCCAGCATATGCAGTTGTTTCAGTTTTTTAACCTCACATTTTCCCATATTAAATTCTGTCTGCCAGGTTTTTACCCATTCACGTAACATCTCTACATCCCTGTCTATACTTGGCGTGTCATCCTTACTGATTGCAAACAACATAGATTGGAAGGCAAACTTGACAATAGTACATTCATTTATCATCCAAATCATCCATATATATTGCAAATAATTGTGGCCCTAGCACTGATCACCATAACACTTAATAGTTATAGATTGCCATACTGAAAATGCCCCCATTATCATAACTCTGTGTCCTATTTGTTCGCTAATCCTTCATCCATGCTAAGATACAACCCCCCAATATCATGGGCTGTTATCTATTTGGGTTGACTAACATACGTTATCTTATTGAATGCATTTTGAAATCCTTATATCTACTGGTTCCACTTTATCTATCCTACTTATTTACTTCCTGAAAGAAATCTAACAAATTTGTCAGGCATGATTCCCTCTTCCTGAAGCCATGATAACTCTGCTTAATTACATTTGTATCTCGAAATATGAATTCGAGTACATCCTTTATAATAGACTTTAACATTTTCTCAATGACAGAAATTAAGCTATCTGGTCTTTTTGTCTCCATCCATTTTAGAATGATGATGTTACATTGACAGCTTTTCAATCCTCAGAGATCTTTCCAGAATCCAAGGATTCTTGAAAGATTACTATCAGTGCATCCATTATCTCTGTAGCTACTTCTTTTAATATCCTAGCATGGTATCCATCAGGTCCAGGAGAATCATTGGCCTTGAGCACCATAAATATCCCTCGAACTTTTTTGCAGTGATAGGTATTGTGTTTGTTTCTTCTCCCCTATCTGTCCCTTGATTGTTTAGTATTTTTCGAAATGCAGTAGTGTCTTCTACAAGGAAGACTGATGTAAAATATTTATTCAACTCCTCTGCCGTTATTTGGTTCGTCATTATTATTTCCCCAACCTCGTTCTCTAAGGGGCCTATGTTCACTTTGCCTCTCTTATCCTTTTTATCTATTTAAGGAAGCTCTTACTGTCTGTTTTGATTTTACTTTCTAGTTTGTCCACAAACTTTATTTTCACCCTTTTTCTGTTTGTCTTTTTTTTGTCTTTTTAACTTTCTAATTCTCTTGATTACCATTTTTTTTCTTTCAAGTTGCAATTAAACATAACTTCCTTGGTCAACCATAGTTACTCACTCCCTAGAATCCTCCTTCCTGTCTGGGAAATATCTTTGTTGTGAGCATGAACTATTTTCTTATGTCTGTGATTGGTCCGCAACGATTTTTCCTTCTAAACCCCTCTTCTAGTCCTTTCCAGCAAACTCTGTCCTCATTCCTTTGTAATTACCCTTATAGCCTTGCTACCTGCAAGGAAAGCAATCTGAATTTTGGTGGGCCTTCACTTCCCCTACAATCTAGTCCTTTGATCCACAGCTTGTATAGTGGCTTTATCCTCATGTCCTTAACTTTCATACACACAGGCTTGTAAATGCTCCTGCACGGTTGAATGGGGAATAGACCCCTCAACCAGCATCATCAGCACTGCTCGTGACTCTTGGGTGCCCTTCTTGTCAATGACAGAACATAGTTGAGATTTTGAAGTTTAGAACAGTAAGAGTTTATTCAACTGCAATTTTTAGGTTGATGCCGTAGCATTTTTCAAGTTCTATTTTGTTCCCTCACTAGCGGCAATGTAAACACATGGGAAGAACTGAAATCTGGAATTCCTTTTTTTGAGGCATATGCAACAGTATTATTCCCAAAATGGCTGCACTAATTTCCAACAAAAGGGAATTGAGCCAGACAACATTTTATTAAAAGAATGTGCTTGTGCACTAATAACCACCTACAACATCTAGAACATTTTTATTAATCAGTGTGTAAAATATTTGAGTGGCATACTGTAACCTGTACTCTGTCTTAACTTCATACAACATGAAATAGTTTGAAGGATCCTACCTAAAAGAACTAGGAACTACTTAGTTTTTTTTTTGCTGGATTATTTATTAGATTGTTGGTGCAATTCTACCTGTTAATGTTTTCTTATACTTGTCTAAACATACAAAAATTTGCCTTTGATTTTGCTTCATCAAGTGTTGTAGCTTAGATTATAGTAACCTGTAGTAAAGAGGAAAATAAGACAATTTGAAGTGAAATATATAAACAGTTTTGGGATCATCCTTTGAAAGTAATATTCAATTAAATTATTTTCCTATTAACCTGTGGGAAACATTAATATGAAGAATTAGGACTGTGTTAAAGGTTGAATACTCTTATCACTTTATGCACATAGCTAATTAATCTAACGTAAAAAATATTATTGACATCATTGTCCTGATTCAATATACATTGAGATATGGGGAATTATTAACATTTGAGTTGAAGTTCTTGTCTAAGAAGCAGGAAGAAAATGGAAAATATGCAGTTATCCTTGAAAAGATGCAATCTGTATAAAGAGAAACTTTTACATGCTATAGGCAATCATGTAACTTAGAGCTTCATTCTAAAAGGCTTGACCCTGATCTATATCCACAGTTGGAGGCTCAAAAACAGGCTTTGGAAGTAGTGCAAAGAGATAATAATTGGTTCCATGAGGAAAGTGAGTTAATGGTCTCAAATATCAATAAATGGATCACAGAGCAAGGGTGAGTACATGTTATTCTTGCAAAATCATAGCATCATAGAATCTTACTGCACATGAGGACTTTTGGCTCATCATTTGTATGCCATTTTTTGAAAGTTATCAAATTAATCCCATTTCCCTATTCATCTCCACAGTCCTGCAAAGTGTTTCTTTTTCATAAATCGAATTCCATTTTGAAAGTTACTGTCAAATCTCCTTCCACCACCTTTCTTTTCAGATTTGCATTAAAAATTACCGTCATCTCCTCACTTGTTTCTTTTGCCAATTATTACAAACCCATAATCTCTGATTACAGATATATCAGCTACTGTAAACATTTTGTCATGATCAACTGAAATCAGAATTCCACATTTTAAATCTATTGCTTCTACTTTTATTGATGTAGGGTATTCTAAGTATCAGAGTTATCACTGTTGACAGCTGTGCAGACATTGTTGTTTATTTAAAGTTCAATGCATAACATCCAAACACCACCTCTATATACGGTTGTGGACAGAACTGTTGCTGCTGTGTGGGTGTGGTTATTTAATTGATCACTTAATTGGAATGTTATTATGCTCTTGTTTTGTGATTTTCAATATGTTTTCACGCATCATTTAATTAATCTGAGTGAATTGTTTCCCTTTAGTTTGCATGTAAACTAAAAAAGATTATGCAAATAGATTAACCCCTTTGAGATTTGTAATTGTTTAGTACAAGTAATCCAGGTTTTGGTTTTTAAATTTCCTATGATTATTTTAGAATGTTAATGGGGAAGAACTTGCATTTCTATAGCATCTTTCAAATACCAAAGCACTATGTTGCTAAAGAATTAGCTTTAAAGTGTAGTCAGTGTTAAAATACATGCAAATCTGCACACGGCACAATCCCACAACGAACAATGTGACAAGTAGCTTGTTAATTCTTTAATGCTGATATTGCGGAGGAAGTAATGATGACCAAAACACCAAGAGAACAATTTCTTCTTCATCTTCAAATGTGCTCTAGGACTTTAGTATCCACCCAAAAGAACAGATCAGGACAAATGTTAATGTCCTATCCAAAAACTGACAACTCTAAAAATACAATGTTCACTCAGTCTATACTGAATTGTCAGCCTAGAGTAAATACTTAAATTCTACATTTAGGCCTGAATTACCCACAACTTCATGACTAAAAAGCAAGAGTGCTACAGTAGAGACAAATTAGCACTTAACTGCAAAGACAATTGCTGGGACTACACATCACTGAAATGACTGTAAAATTACATACAGTGGCATGGGTGTGAACTATCCATGTCATCATTTTGGGTGGTATTTCATAGTAGCGGCTGTGAGAACAGCACTTGTCTTATTGAAAGAGGCCATTTAGAGGAATTTAACACAATTAAAGATTCAATAGGCCATCATTTAAAAAAATTCATGAGGTGTACTCAGGGAACATGAGATACTGCAGTGGAGATTTGGCAGATCTGTAAAGTTGGCAGCAAGTTTTTGAGGTAATTCTGTTAACATGGAGTCAGGCACCTTGGCCTCATAGGAAGGCTCGTACAGCACAGGCACAGCATTCAACATAGATGAGATGTAGTTGAGGAGCCTTTGGGGTCAATCCCTTTGGTCCTGTAGATCTCCAGGTAGGGGCTCTGTTGAAATTGAGTTAACAGAGAGGTGGTATGCATTGTGTTCAGCAAAATCTGGCAGAGAGTCCTGCATTCAACAGTAGTTTCTTACAGCGAGACGAGCCTGAGAGGGATGGAGGTGGTGGTAATGGTAGCAGCACCTCATTGCCCACCTGCAGGAATAGCCTCCTACTGGAGAAGTGGCAGAAAGCCGGCAAAGAGCTCATGAGCAAGCTTCAGTGTGGAGAAAATGTTTCCCTGCATCAGATGTACACAGACAGTAAATGAGCTACCTGCAGATGCCAATGAGTTACTAAAGAGAGTACTTCTGCTGAGGGACCATAGTCAATGTTCCTGCCATGCTCGCAGAGGAGCTGGCTCTGGTTGCATTGGCAGTCATCCAGTGCCAGTTGCCAGAAAGGGCACTGTGGTGCTAAACACCTCTGTGCTTCTTATTCTGGAGCCCCAGCCATATATCAATACATCAAGGGAGTCACTGACACCTTCTTAAAAAAAGGTCCTGCCAATACTCATGACAGACTGAGAGAACCAGAAGATTCAGCCCCACGACTGCAATCTCCCAGGTATAATGCCTGCATGTAGCCTCCAACGCTCCCACTGGACAGCCAGCAGCTTTCGCCAACAGGAAAGGATTTGTCCAATTAGTTTCTGACCATTGTCATGGAAAACTATGTGGTGCACTTATTATTCTGGGACTGGCTATGACATAGAAATACTCCTGCACTCGGGTATCACAGCTTTTCACCTTTCCACACCCATAGGCTTCAAGATATGAATGCAAGATGAATGGTCAAATATGGGAATGAATGTTCAGATATAGGGATGCAGGAATGAATGGTCAAATGCGGATGTCCGAATGAATGGTGCAATAAATGTGGAGTGAAGCAGCTTTGTTGTGTTGGTAGTTCTTTCTACATGGTGCAAGCAGATCCAATTGTGTCAGCTGGTGATGCAGCCACTGCTCAATCCCCAATTCTCGCCAATGAACATTTTGCCACTCAGCCTGTTGACTGTTACTTGGCTAGCCTGTTCAAGATCCCTCTGGAAACAGGATTCAGTGCAGGAGGACCTTCACTGCCCATTTCTTCTCTCACCTTCTCCTTCTGCCGGGTTCTGCAAAATCACAGCTGGAACTTTTGTTGGAAATCTGTGGCATTACATCTGCCTCTCTGTTTTTAATTTACAAATTACATAAGGATCACATTTTACTAACTGTTTGAAATGCAGGGTAATGTTATCCAGAGCACATTTAATTAATGTTCATAGCAACAGTGCTCAAAATACACATTATTTGGTATAAATCCAGTGTACAGTTTTTGAATAGAAAATGCAAAGAAACCTAAAAGAAGGAGGTAATTACACCGTCGATGGCTAATTATAGCAATCTTCCATATAGAAACATGATAACATTTAGCAGGGTTCATTGATATGTGTTCAGTTATATGCTCAAACTATAAAAATTTTGAATTGAATAACTGAAATTTGAAACAGGATTCAGACAGAAATCCCACACAACAAACTCAAAGTACAATTGGTATATGTTAAGATGGTGAATGCCAGCTATCATGTCAGCATTTCAACCATGTTTTTGCCCTGTATCTTCTAACTGTATTCAAGTCATCATGCTAAATCAGTGCATGGTATCTTGGCAATGAGGCTTACCAAATATGCATATGGCCAACAACTGCCGTCTGCCATCTGACCGCACAGGAACAGTGCTCCTCCAGTGACATTCAGGCTGTAACCAGGAAGGTCATGGAGCAAATCATCAGTATCCTAAAGTATAGGTGGCTGGTCCACAAGGGGTAGTCCTCCAATACTCACTAGAGCATGTGTCATAAAAACATGCATCTTCCATATTCTTGCCGTTATGTAGACACAGTCCTTAAGGCCAGGACTTTGCTGATCACCTCAAGAAGGGAGGAGACTCCAGGGCATTATCACTCCAGTTTATCTGCCCCTGAGCAATTCTTTAGTCCCTGGTTCCCAGAAAAGATTCCTACATCTTCATAGCTGTACACTTCCTCACCTTACCATTCTCTGATATGGACTATCATGGAAACAACTGAGTCAATTTCTTGCATTAAAAAACACAAAACAATCATTCTATACCAACTTCATCGAGCAACATTTCAAATGATGTATATAACTCCCAACTATTACTCCTTATGCTTTCTCTATGTGCCTGTCTTGTGGCTACCATTCCATGGCAGCATGGAAGAAAGGCTTTCAATGGCAAGACTGCAGGTGGCTTTGGAGAAGCCTACCCAAAAGCTCTAAACCTTGACGGGCTAGTCTCTGAATAGACCTTGAAATTGGCAGCAGCAGTCAGGACTGCTGGTTGACAGTGACACCAAGACACTAGTACAGATTTTGATTTGATTTGATTTATTGTGGTCACATGTACCTAAGAACAGTGAAAATTTTCGTTTTGCGAGCAGTACAGGCAAATCATAACAAACAAAGACATACAGAACATAGGTGCTTAGACAGAGCCAGGTATACAGGTTACAGCTGCACAGGAGGTGCACAAAGCAAGATCAACATTATTTGATGTTAGAGAGGTCCATTCAGCAGTCTAATAATAACAGAGAAGAAGCTGTCCTTGAACGTGTTGGTGCATGTGTTCAAGCTTCTGTATTTTCTGCCTGACGGAAGAGGTTGGAAGAGAGCATTACGGGGTGGGAGGGGTCTTTGATGAAGTTGGCAGACTTTCTGCAGCACTAAGAAGTGAAAATGGAGTCCATGGATGGAAGGTTGGCTTTCATGATGATCTGGGCTGTGCACACAACTTTCTGTAGTATTTTACAGTCCTGGGCAGAGCAGCTGCCGTACCAGGTCGTTACGTACCCAGATAGAATGCTTTCTATGGTGCATCTGTAACAATTGGTGAGGATCCTTATGAACATGCTGAATTTCCTAAGCCACCTGACGATGAAGAGATGTTGTTGTACCTTCTTGACCATCGCATCTACGTGAGTGGTCCAGGACAGATTGTTCATTATCGTCACTCCTAGGAACCTGATGCTCTCGACTCTGTCCGCCTCAGCTCCATTGATGTAGATAGGGGCATGTCCTCCTCCTTTCTTCCTGAAGTCAATGATCAGTCCTTTTGTTCTTCCAACAATGAGAGAGAGGTTGTTATCATTGTACCATGACACTAAGAACTCTATCTCCTTCCTGTATCCTGACTCATCTGGTCTACCGCGGTGATGTCATTAGCAAACTTGTAGATGGTGCTCGTAAAGAATTTAAATTTGTATAGGTTGTGATAGAAGAACAAATGTTATAAACCTGTGAAAATATTACAGATTTCTCCCTCAAAGACCCACTGCCACCCCTCCATTTCAGCACTGCAATAATCCTGAAATAGATTGCTGCAC